TTTTTTTTTTCTTTTTTTTTTTCTTTTTTTTTTCTTTTTTTTTTTTAATTATTATCAGAACCTCTTGGTTCTGGCTCCTGCCATTCTGGGGAGCAACAGTCCGGTTCCTTTTCCCCCGGCAAGTCAACCAGTAGTACAAGGTTGACTCACACCGCGCTCCTCCCCATTAAGGTTGAGAGGCCCGAGTCACATCCGCTCTGTAACTTCTGTATCAGGCCGTGATCACAGCATAAGGGAAGTTTTTTTTTTTGTTTGTTTGTTTTTCTCCATTTGTTTTCATAGGGGAGGGCGCTTGTAGACGTGGAAGTGATACCAATGACTTGGGAATGTATCTGGCCAGTATGTCTGGATTGTGATTACTTGTTTTTCAATTTTTGTTTTCATTTCTTTTCTGTGCCCTGCCAGCGAGGCAGGGCGGATTCCACGGGGGGCAGGTTACTGCCTCTCTCACGACATACTCACATCAGCACTGTGGCGTTCTGTATCGGACCGCAATCGCAGCATAAGGGATTTTTTTTTTGTTGTTGTTCTTCATTTGTTTTCCATGACGCACCTCATAGAATGTATCTGATGGCTACGGCGGCGTTAGGGAAGTTTCTGTTTTTTTTACTTTTTTTCCTCCTCTTTTTTTTTTCTTTTTTTTTTTTCCCTTGTTCTTTTTCGGATGTACCCCTCTGAGTACCAGAAAAGAAACTACTATGGGACCCAGGCCCGGCAAAAACTTGGTGCGCACCGCGTAGTGAAAATCAGGCTCGGCAAAAACAGGATCTGAGGTAGTCATCGTTAGCGCTCACGACTGATACCCCAAAGACCTATTTGAGGCTATTTATGATGCCCAATGAGACAAAAAGAAAGGTTTGTATGACTGTACTTGAACAGGATCTCTTCCTAAGGAATTACACTTTTTTTTTCTTTTTTTTTTTTCACCCACGGCGAAAAAAAAAAAAAACAGAGATTATTTCTCGTGCGCCGTGCGGCGCATAGGCAGGTTCCAGATGTCGTGTGGCGCACCGTATCCAACGGCCATGTGGCTCGTTCGGTTGCCAATATGGTTCATTCTTACCTCAGGACCAAGTCTCATCAACACAGGATCAGTGAGGGAAAAGTCCCAGCAACACAGGATCAGTGAGGGAAAAGTCCCAGCAACACAGGATCAGTGAGGGAAAAGTCCCAGCAACACAGGATCAGTGAGGGAAAAAACACTAGGGTTCCTTAACCTTCTTCTTTTTTTTTTTTTTTTTCCCTATTGTGATTGAAATTCTAATTTTCCGAAGTATCAAAAAAAAAAAAAAAAAAAATCCTAATTTCACAAACCGCAGGTGGTGTTTTTTCAAATTCCAAACAGCTTGTGACTGACTGAAGCAGTGGTTCTGGGCCTTCTGGCTTTTTGGTTGCTTGATCGCTGTACTCTTTTTTTTTCAGGGGTGGGGGGGG